GATAGAGGGTTTTTAATGCAACAACTTTATGAAAACTGGCATGCAAAAATAAAAAATCAAAACATCTTACCCACTACAACTGCAGCCAATTATAATTTGTTGCCAGCTGATTATAGTTATTAAGGTAGCAGCCATACTCCTTTTGACAAAATCCAAAATTAAATTATTAGGGTCTGTAAAATATCACTTCTTTTGTCCTCCTGTTTATTCATTTCCTTAAACTTTTTCAATTGTTTTGTAGCATTTTTGTAATGTTTACTATGGGATGGGAGACATATCTATAAATTATATTTATTACACATAATTTTTTAAAATTAAAATGAAACCACTCACCAGAATAAAATGACAAAACTATGTACTTATAACACGCACTAAAAAGTAATTATAATACATTATACACAATTATTTATTTAAAGAAACACTTAATAGTTAAATTCTTAAACATAAAAAAACTAACAATAACAAACTGTTGAAACTGTTGAAACCGTTGAAACGTGGTTGCTTTAGAAAACGAGCGCGTTTAGTTTAGAGTTTATGTTAGGTTAAATAAAATGTGTTTCTTCTTTGCATTTTTTGTCTTTTTGGCCTACGGTCAACAGAAATTTGGTAAAAACTTAGGTTTTTCAATAAAATAGGTATGCAACCAGGATTACGTACACTTAGGTACGTACTTAGTACGTATTTTTCTGTACGTACTGGTACGTACTATTGTGTACGTACTTAAAACGTACATTTTACGTCCTGTACGTACTGTACCAAAACTGTACGTACTTAAGACGTACTGTGCTGTTTGGGTAGGACCCTAAAAATACTGTTTTACGTTGACGTATGACATTTCTCTCGAGAGAAATGAATTCTCTCAAGAGAAATGTCATACGTCAACGTAAAACCGTATTTTTAGGGCCAGTGTGAACTCACTGACTATTTCTCTCGGTTTATTTAGAGAGAATTAAAATTCTCCTAAGAATTTTAATCCTCGATTCCTTTAAATACAGCGTTTCCACATTGACGTATGACATTTCTGATGAGAATCTTGAGAGAAATGAGTGCTCACATACTTTGAAAATAGGTCCCCTGAGTACGTGATCTGTGGCAAGGCGACCACAATCGAGGCATACCGAGTGCACTCTGAGTACAGCGAACGCCAAACCGAACTTACCCCCCGTCTCATTGTTCCGTGATCCGTAGTAGCGTTCGGTTTGGCCAGGTTCTGGAACGAGACAAGAGCAATGACATATATAGCTTAAATAGACTGCTTATCCATACGTAAATAAAACGATGAAAAGCGGGTCGAACTGGGAGATGTTTTCTCTTTGTCTAGTGCATGCAATGTTTGTGTTTTGTCTCAATTTTGAGTGCTCACTGGTAAACAAAACTTTCACAGGACCGGTTTTAAAAAAAGTTTAGTCTAGTTGAGATTTTGTTCTCATTGTCATTACTCAGTCGGACATTTTGTTGAATTGTTTATTTTATTTAGTTTTAATTATACTTATGTTCTGTTTTAAATTTTTTAATTATTTGAGTATAAAAATTTGTTTTGTTTTTAAATTTAAACGGTGAATTGCTCTATAAAGGGTTGTAAGACCAGCTACAGAAATATAAAAAGTAACATTTCATTTTTCACGCAAGTATCAATATATGTAGGTACAAGGTAAATACGTTTATAATAATTTTATGAATTATAATTAATTATAATAATAATATTAATAAAAAAGTATTTATTGTAAATACAATTACATAAATATTATTATATTCAAATGCCCGAGTTAGAGCTATCTGGGCTTTACAAGTACATTTTAAAAGTTAGTTAGATACAGAGAAGTATCGTATAATAAAAACTCAATATAAATAGAAGAAAAACGGACATAAGTACCAATACAGAGAGACAAACACTTTTATTCTTTGATAGGTTCTTTCTATGTGAATTCTAGCTGTGGCAATTTTGGCATTAAGTAAAGCCTCTTGATGGCTGAACTGATTTTTTTTATTGAAAAAGGAGGCTGTATAATTTGTATACCTTCAGCTTCTGTTATGTTTCCAATAAGAAAACCTTTGTTAAACATTTTACTATCGAGAAATGATTCACACACTTCAAGTATTGAACTTTGTTAAAAAATGTCTATTTCTGAAATTCTACCACCATATGCTTCACTTTTGTAAGTAATGAGACCAGTAGGTGACACTCCAGTAAATATTTTAATAGTATGCCTCTTTTTGTAGTCAGAGTAATTTTTTAGCCTACAACAAAGACATTTGGCTTGCTGTATTGGGATTTCGGTACAATCAAGTAGTACTCTTACTTACATAGAGGCACATTATTTAATATTTCTTGTTTTGAAGGCCGAATTACACCATACTAAGAACTTCTACCAGTTTTATTAAAAAATGTTAAAAAATTTAATGATAAAAAGTTTCATCCACTCCAAATAAAATGGATAAGACATTATATCTTGCATATCAGTTTTCAACTTCATAAAAGTAAATAAAACTTGATCCTTTACAGACATAACTGATCTCCTTTTTCCCATTCTTTAGAAACAACTAATTCCACAATGGTGGCTAATAACTGGAAGGATTGCAATCCTATTAAAGTAGATAGTTCTTTAGAACTAAGAATTCAGTTTGAAAACGGATCAACTAAATCACCACTCTTCACTTGTGTTGAACAATCGATCCCAATTTTCTGCTTTTAAACGAAGTTTTGTAAATTAAGCAAAGCTCTTCAGCAGCACACAAATCTTTATTATCTGCTTCAGTAGTAGATATATGTTCCTTAACTGCAAAAACATATTAAACATAATAATAATTAACCAAACATTTTAAATTATGCATACGTATCCATTGCCTGAAGAAGATAACTCAACACTTAACATTCTACTAGTACTGGCAACATATCATTATTAAAGACAGTAGCCATAATTCTTGTTTTAGCTGGATTACTTTTCTTTTTATTAATAGTCGCTTTCTTTTTACCACTAATCTGAGCTAACTTACATCGACTAAGCTTAGTTGTACGTTCTTTTTGTGATTGTAAGTCAGAATTTTTCTTTCCCCCCTACCGATGCTAAACGGATCTTGACGTCAACTAAGATTGCACTTTGTACCGTTCATTTTACTATGATGTTGATCAGATTTCCACTGGTGGAATCTTATTATAATTTATCAAATCATTCACATTCACCGCCAAAATAATCCTTAATTATCTAAAGGGAACAAACTTTAGAATGTGAAAAAGCTACTAACTTTTAGTAAAATCTTTAAAAAGTTCATTTAATTTTTGCATAATATCTGCTTTTATAATGCGAAATAAATTTTAAAAGAATAATCAAGTGTCCGAATAGTGCCAGTATACAGTGGTCGTGGTCTAAAGTTAGTTATATACACATGAGTGTAAAATTGTTTATATCTATCTTCAAAATTGGTTAGATCTCTTAAAATGTTTTGAAAATTGGGAAACTAGACGTTATGACTCAAAATCCTTTTTTAAAATATCTAACGCAAGCGTCTGTCTTGAAATAAACATACAGATATTTTTTTTTTAATTCAATTCCTACTTTGATGAAATATGAGTTTTAAACTCATTTGGGCCAGACCGATTCTGCCTGGTGAGCACTCGGCAAGCCAAGCAATATGACCCGCTTTTCATCGTCTTGTTTATATATGGATGAGCAGTCTATTAATCTATATATGTCATTGGACAAGAGCGGAGTTTTTTAGGGTGCTTAAATGACATTTAAACGTGTTGAACTGTCACTAAGGACCGATTCCACCGTTGTGTTAAACGAAGTTTAAAATTACATTTTTACATTAACAACGTCATTTTAATCCCCGTTTAACACCACGGTGGAATCCACAAAGCACCTATCTTCTAGAGACCCCACGCCAATGTTAAACTTTTAAACCAAATTGGCGCCACCTTGTGTTTGGAGCTGGAACTAAAATGACAATTGACAGATGGCGGTAAATTCAAATTGTAATTGTTAGGAGTAGGTAGTAGTTTTAAATTAAATTTTAAATGATTTCCACATAAATTATTTTATAAAATAAAGAATGGAACTAGTAAGTTCGAAACTTTTATTTTACAAAATAATTTAGGTCGATTATACCAAATTTGAGGAATTAATTTGTTATAAGCAGGGGTCTGATGTGAAGAGTTGGTTCTGCATATTATTATTAAATAAATATAAGATATATCAATAAACAATAAAAAAGAACATTCTTAAAATATGTTTATTAATAACTTAAATAATATTATTAGATAAAAATAAATACAAATAATAATACATATTTAACGAATACTTACTTGCAGCAAATAGGTATATAATCTCAAATCTTTAAAATACCTATCAATAATTTAAATGTGAAGTAGAGACTAGGATATTACATTTTATTAACACTAAAATAATATATTTTATAAATGTCTTTTAAACCGAGGACAAATGTAATATAGGTATTGTATTAAAAGGTGAATCCTTTTAACTATTCATTCAATGATAAATAGGTATTTTCCTTCCAAATACAGATGGTGGTATTACTCCACTGCTTTGTGTATTACTCTCTTATGTGAAAAATGATTTCGGAATCTAGTCCAGTGATAAATTGATTATCAATTAGTTGTTATACCCGTTTCTTTTTATGATGCAGATGCATGGTGAATTAATGAAGTTTTTCTCGAAGTTTTCAACGTAGCACCCACAGGTAGCACCAAAATTATTGCAAAACACAGTAGTAAGACGAAACTATAAACAGAAACCAAAAGCCAAAGCCAACAAAAAATCACTAAAATCAGACGGAAAAATGAGATTAACCAAAAACATAAATAAATACACGTCACATCTTTGGAGTCTTTGGTTAAGTTTTTATCCCATAAAGCTTAAAAATGGAGTAAGAAATCAGAATTTTACCAGTAGCCCCATCTAGAGTTTGGAGCAAATAGCATAAAAAATGTCAATTGTCGGTTTTGACCTTGGTCATTCACGTGGAACCTCTATGTGCTTTGTGGTGGAATCGGTTCTAATCGGACTAAACCACGGTAAATCGAACGCTAAAAGGGTCGTTCGGAGTTAAAAGTATTAAAGGAGTTAAAAGAGCTTGGCAAACCGAACGCAACTCGTGATTCAGTATTTATTCAATTGTCAAATGTCATTACGTCAAATTGTTTTCGCCATTGTATTTTGAGCACCGAATCAACAAATTAAAATCACTTTTAAACGCTAGTTATTCAATTATTAATCTAAAATACCTATAGGCGGAAGAACGTAAGTTATTATTCACCTCAAATTCGTTTTATTTAACCAATATTCTTAGTATAGTCATTAAAACCTTCACCTCGTTTTTTGTTTAACAATCATTATTTCCAAGAGCCAAACTTGACATTATTCCAATTTTTTATAGATGCCAAATATAAAACTGCAGTCCTCAGATGGGGAAACATTTGAGATCGACGTTGAGATCGCAAAATGCTCGGTCACTATCAAGACCATGTTGGAAGATCTAGGAATGGATGAGGAGGAAGAAGAGGTAGTTCCATTGCCAAATGTGAACTCTGCTATATTGCGAAAGGTAATCCAATGGGCCACGTATCATAAGGACGACCCTCCACCACCAGAAGATGATGATAACAAAGAAAAAAGGACTGATGATATTTCTTCTTGGGATGCTGACTTTTTAAAAGTTGATCAAGGTACTTTGTTTGAACTCATTTTAGCGGCTAATTATCTTGATATTAAGGGACTCCTCGACGTTACCTGCAAAACGGTAGCTAACATGATTAAAGGTAAAGCCCCTGAAGAGATCCGCAAAACTTTTAACATCAAAAATGATTTTACGGCGTCTGAAGAGGAACAAGTGCGAAAAGAAAATGAATGGTGTGAAGAAAAGTAATTGTGTACTAAATTGACTAAATTTTGTGTACGTTTTGTATAAGTATTTTAGATATGCTTAAATATTTTTTTGGGCGTCTCGATTACTAATTTCTCAGTTTTTCAGGTGTTAACCTAAATCTCTTAGTCATATAAAGTTGGGAAACTGTATTTAAATTCTGTACCTCTTTAGTATCCTTAGGCTGTTACATTTTTATGGAAAATGGCTTTGAGCTCGATCAAGCTATTTTTCCAGTATTTGTTTTATTATAATTGATGCTGAACATGTTTATTTAAAAATGTTAATTTGTGACAGTGACCTTTACTTTGGGGATGCAGAATTAAAATTGTTTTTTTTTTTTAAATAAAACTAAATAGTACTAGTTTGTTTTTTATTACTAAATGATCTAAAATACATTTGATCTGATTACAATGGCTCTAAATTACATATTTCCTAAATTGTTAAAACATAAAATACAAAACTGTTACATAGGCCATTCTGTACCTCTTATTGCAAAATCTTCGATGTTATAATGTAACCAATTTAGCCAAATATACAAAAAAAATATAAACTAATCAATATCTAAGCATACAACAATAAATTTAATATGAAAAATATCTGGTTTTGAATTGATATAAAAAGAATACCAAGTATAGTAAAAATATTTAATAAATACTACCAAATTTGAAAATATCAATAAAGAGATAAAAATAATATAGGAATACTCAAGATGGCAACAACTGTAAGAAAAAATCTAGAGTATTAGAAAGATAGTGTTGAGCTGCAATTTTAATGAAATGACCAATCGATAGCATTATTACAAAGAAATAGTAATTCATTTAGTGGCAATGTTTTAACTTAAATTGGAACTGAATTTAGGTTAAATCTCAATTTTCTTAAAAAGATTTTTGCCCGTATTTATTAGTTTCTTGAAGATGCTAGATTCCTTAAAAGGTTTAATAATAAAAATAAAACCCTGGATGACCACAGAACTACTAACATCAATTAGAAAACAAGATTTATTAAAAAAGAAAGTTTTAAATAATAAAAATAATATTTCCACTAAAGAAGAATACAATAGGTATAGAATTTTTTTAAATAGATTAAAAAATCAAAATATAATTTTTACATAAACTAAATGAAGTCAGTATAAACTATAAAAAAACCTGGGAAATAATAAATGAAGTAACAAATATGCCTCAAAAAAAAAACATCGTACACAAAATTCACATAGAAGGGAATATTATAGATGATCAAAAACAAATGGCAAATTATTTCAATAATTTTTTTATAGAAATAGGTGAGAAAATATCAAATCAATAAGGTTAACCTAACTAATAAAATATCAGACAAATGGAACAACAAGTCAATGTTCCTAGAACCAACAGAACATTTGGAAGTTCAAGAACTAATTTCAGGTCTTAAAAACAATGCCTCTCCGGCAATGGATAAAATAACAGCTAAATATTTCTAACGACAAATATTCCAATTCAGTTTAAAGAGAGTTGTGTCATATCAATTTATAAATCTAATAGGAAAAATGTTTAAATAAAAGAGTATGGTAATTTCTAAATAAACATAAAATAATCTCAGAAAAACAATATAGGGGTTCCAAAAAAGGATTGGAACAGAACTACCTTTACAAATACTTATATCAGAGATACTAGCCAACTTTAATGAAAATAAAAAGAATATTGCGGTGTTTCTTGATCTTCAGAAAGCATTTAATACAGTTGCACACCAAGAATTACTTGGATAATTAGATAACATAGGTTTTCGCGGTAATGTTTTAAAACTTTTTTGTAATTACTTGACAGATAGGCCACAACAAGTACGTGTTGGTTGTGAATTAGAAAAAAAAACAGTTATAACAGGTGTTCCACAAGGCACTATCCTTGGACCTACTTTATTTTTAATTTGTATATAAACGATTTATCCTCTTATAAAGAATGTGGCCTCATATCTTATGCTGATGATACGGTCTTAAATTGTACAGGGAATACATAGGATGAGGCTTGGGAAAATTCACAACAAGCTCTAAATGATGCAAATAATGGTTGGATGCAAATTGTCTAATTTTTAACTTCTCGAAAACAAAGTTTATTGCTTTTTCACCAACAGTTGCAGGACTAAATAAAAATCTACCTTCAATTAAAATCAATGGAGTTCATGAAGAAATAAAACAAACTGATTCAATCAAATACAGAACTATGAAATTAAAAAACTTTGAAATTGAGAAGGTCAAAAGTGAGAAAAAATGAAAACCAACAAATATTAAATCAAATATTCTATTTAACCTAACCTGGAGCCATCGGGGGTTGCTTCGCATAAAAATTATATACAAAATGAGAAAAATTTAAAAACAACCAATTTACTTGAGCGGCCTGGAGCCATTGCAGCTTGCTTCGCAAAAAAGATTATACATAGAATAATAGACTACTAATTTCGTAATGTAATGCTTTTGATCTTATACCATTTTGAACATTTGTTCTAATTTCTCTTTTTTGGTTTTGATCTTTTCTTACCATTTAAAAATTTTCCTTGAACTTTTGATTTTCGAACTCTTAAGACCAAACCGGACCTCTCGCTAAAGAAAAAATGTTTTATGGATTTTCTGCTATAAAATTGCCACTGTGAAAACTTCGTGATATATGTGTCTTAACAATATTGAGAGTTTTAAATTTGTGCAGCACTCTACAGAGTAGTTTAAGAAAAAAAGGTGGGACATCATTTCATTTAAAAACTAGATATTTATTAAAACAAGAAGCAGCAAATTTTTATAGATTTAGTACAAAATATCGCGTAAATGTTTTTTTAATTCCTTTTAAAAATGTTCAAAATAAATACTTTTCAGAGGTTTACAAAAAATTAAGTTTTGTTATTATTGCTATTTCCTGAAAATTTTACAAAAATCGGACAAAAAATAAAGGGTCAGAATGAATTATAAATTTTAGAGGTGCAGTTTGCTCTTAATTGTTTTTCGAATTTAGTTACCAATTCCATGTTATACAGGGCATTAGTATCTACCATAGAGCTCTCCTTATTTGATGAATTTTGATATTGGGACATAAATCCTTATTCATTATTTCGAATACACCTTCACACGATGAAACAGAAAGAAGAGGTTTCTGTTATTTTAAAAAATTGTATTTGTAATCGTCCTCAAGTTTTATTAAATTTTGACTGCACCGGAAGATGGAAAAAATATATATAGTACTGTGCTAAAATAAAAACATGACCGAATAAACCTTGGAAATTTTTATTTATATGAATCCCTAATAATAAGTGCTTAGTTACCGAGATAGAAAATTTTGAATCAAAATTTTCCATAAATCAAAAAACTTTTTAAATATTTTTTTTTTCATATTTGATTTCCAAGATCTTCTCAAATACACGAACTATTAAAAATTTGACACGTGCCTACTAGATTAGAATTTAGAAATATTGATTCGTTACATGCAGACTTGTGTTTGGAAACAAATTTTTGGAACACCGTTTAAGCTCCATAGTTAGCCAGGGAGCTTTTAAGTTATCCTGACAACACTGCAGCAAACAAATACTTGACTATGACCAGACAGAATATGCGTCTAGTCACAGGCATTCTGACTAGTCATTGCCAAGTACGGAACTGTAGTGTTGTGAATATCCGTATCTTTTTAGTATTCGGATAATACGTATTCGGAACCAAGAGATATTCGGATTCATCATCCGGATACGTATCCATATGTGTGAAATCATAATACGCAACCGTAAATACACCGCGACCTTGGGAATCGGAATCGGGCAGTGTTGTCAACCCTAGCAGAATTTATGTTTGAGAGTGAAGTAACAGGAGTTTTTAATGTTTTAGAATAATAAACACAAGATAAATCTCAAATATTTTGTTTTTTATCATATCAGAAACAAATTTTCTCATTTATATTTATATAACTTCATGTTACCTTTAAAATATGCAGTGCATGCCGACTAACCGATTATGAATTGCAACAACGCTAGACGATTCCGAATTCTGATTTCGTATCCATAGTTCGTATCGGCTGCCACCCGCAAAACCCGAATCGGCTCTGTCATGACAGAACTTGCAGCATTCGATTCGTGTATTACGATTTTGTTTCTGTTCTTTTTGATACCGAATTCGTATTCGAATTTACACTATTGATTCCGGAATATCCGGATCCTTTTAATATTCGGATTCAACGGATTTTTGGATACGTATTCTTACATCACTATACGGAAGCATCTCCATTGTCAGAATCCGCATAAGATCATCGAGCATATCGTCATTTATTAGATTTGTGTTCGGCGACAATTGGCTAACACCGGCCGATATTAAAAGTGCCTCTTGGAGACGTTGTCGCAACTACATTAAATATGTAGGCTGGCCTGTAGGAGGTGTCTGTCACCTTAGGAGGACGCACATTGGGACTATATAAGTGCCGTGGGGTAACCGACCTTGGTTAATACTTTTTTGACTAAAAATTAAGAGAGAATTAAAAAAATAAACAGAAAGCATTAAAAAAATGTTGTTCCAGTGACGTAAAAGATAGGGGGGGAAAGGTTTCCACTAACCCTGATGGCGTGCCACTAGAAAAAATTTCAAAAGTGAGTTCATGTCAAATTATTACATTCTTAAAGAGCCATATAATGCGGTTAGTAAATTTGAAAAAATATTTAAAGGCGTTTTTGATTTATGGCAAATTTTGATTTCAAACTTTTAGCACCCTGTTTCTTGATAAACATGCCCTTTAAGAGTTCATGTTCCTATATCAAAATAATTCATCAATAAACGGGAGCTCTCTGAGGAAGAGCGTTGTCGGTTGAATATACTAACACCCTGTATTAAATTCATCAAGTGTGCGTGTTTTTTTTACCAATAAATAGAAATTACCAATTTTATTTTTATCCAATGCTGAACGCTAACCACGAATACAACATTGCAGAAGCAGGAAATAAGTCATGTAGAGAACCAGATAGGACCTTTGTTTTTTTAGCTCCCCAAAGAAAAATACAAAAACAGAGAACTCATGCTTATTACGTTTTTTTCTTATTTGTTACTTTTCAGTAAATTATATATTACATTGCTGAACAATAATGGTGTTTTGCTGGATAAATACAGCGCTTTGCTGGACAAATACGGCGTTTTTGTTAAACAAATACGGCGTTTTGCTGGACAAATGCGGCGTTTTGCCGAAATCAAATGCTGTACGCTGTACCCTATTTTAGATCAAATGCAATTTAAAATTTTGATCTAGTTGTAAATTTTTTTATATCAATTTTCTGAGAACCCTTTAAGGGCCGATTCCACCGTTGTGTTAAAAGGAGATTAAAATGACATTGTTAATGTAAAAATGTCATTTTTAACTACGTTTAACACAACGGTGGAACCAGTCCTAAAACACCCTAAAATATATTCACCAGTCCACGTAATTAATGTAATATTCATCACAATCGTCATCAGTTCTCTCTGGCTGAGGGCCGATTCCACCGTTGTGTTAAACGAAGATTAAAATGACATTGTTAATGTAAAAATGTAATTTTAACACAACGGTGGAATCGGTTCTAAGGGCCGATTCCACCTTTATGTTAAACGGAGATTAAACTGACATTGTTAGGACCGATTCCACCGTTGTGTTAAACGAAGTTTAAAATGACATTTTAACATTAAGGACCGGTTCCACCGTTGTGCTAAACGAAGCTTAAAATGTCATTTTTACATTAACAACGTCATTTTAATCTCCGTTTAACACAACGGTGGAATCGGTCCTATCAACGTCATTTTAATCTCCGTTAAACACAACGGTGGAATCGGTCCTTAATGTCCTAAGGACCGATTCCACGAAGATACGTGCTTTGTGGATTCCACCGTTGTGTTAAACGAAGTTTAAAGTGGCATTTTTACACTAACAATGTCATTTTAATCTCCGTTTAACACAACGGTGGATTCGGCCATTAGACAAACAAAACTAAATTATTACGTCATCCGAAGAAACCATTTAAATTGTACCAACGCGAAAAAGTAACTGAAAATGGCACGTGTGACAACTGACACATTTGACCTACTGTCCAAAATGACGTAAGACGTAAGTAAATAAATAAAATTGACATGGGTAAAGAAAAAGTATCCGTGTGAGATTTTAAAATTTTTATTCATCAGTCAGACACAAATGATCCTAAGTGACGGTAGTATTAAAATTATTATTGAATAATATAGTGATCGAAAATGATTGACCAGAAGAATGTCACGCTTAACCAAGAAACATCAAAGAATGGAACTACGGATAGCAGCATAGAAGTACTAAAAGAATTATGTGCCAATAATGCAGAGTATTTTTCGAAAGATAATACCGAAAATGGGCAGAGAATGTATATTTCCTTCCTAGCAATGATAGATGCGGCTGATAACATTAAACCTAAAGTGAAACACATCCAAAATCAGGTTTCTGCATTTGATTTTGATGAAAAGACTCCTGGTAATGGGTACAGAAGTTTTCTTTACATCGTAGATCTGGCATTACAATTGGCTGTCCGTTCTTGTGAAAAAGTTACAGAGAAGAGGGCTAGTATGTTGTTTCGTAAAAATACAATTACCAAGTAAGTTATGAAATTTAATTACATTGATATTAAATTCAAATTATCGATTCTTAAAGTCCCTACAGTTGCAAAGCGTAAACAGCAGAAAATTAATCTTTGTAATACATAATGTGTTTTTGTTAAACAATAATTATTTAAAGTAATATTCCCACCCTGTCTTAATAGAAGTAACTTTATCACCCAAAATAAATTAAATAAATTTGAATGATAAAGCCAAAATATTTAGTGAATTTAAATCTCTATCTTAATAATGCAGTTCATAGTTGATTAAGTACTTCTAGTCTTCTAGTAAACTTTCTATTCTAGTTCTATTTGATTTAAAAAATTATATTCTTGATTTTGTAAATATTTATACCAATGTTTATTAAATAAACAAATACTGGAACAAATATGAACATGTTCAAACAGTGATTCAAATTATCTTAAATAGTGCTTGTTTAACTTATGTTTTTGTTTGATTATTTCAATTGAATGATTGATAATTCACACATTAGATTGTCTTATCTTCATAATTTTGTTGTTTTAAATATTAACTTATAATGATTTATTCCATTAGCAAAGTAATACTATTAGCTAATATTTCATTACAAAATCCATACACATACTATTATTGGTAGTTTAACTACTAAATTATTACTGCACATATTAATTAATTCATAGAAAATTGATTTACTTGATGTCTTGATGTGATACACCAACTACATATTTTTTTATTGAAAAAATAAATGATTTGTTATGGATATGGTTATTACATAAATACAGGTAATACCAAAATTACTGGGGTATAGAGCTACTACGTATTGTAGAGGTGAAAATAAGTCAATTGGACCCAATTTATATACACCTACCATGAGAAGAGTTCCAAGTTTACTTAAAAATTACATTTTTGTATGCTGTTCAGAAATGGTGTCAAACAAATTTTATGAAATTTGGGTACATTTTAGATGATTACCTCACTTTCAAAGAAACCCAAAGGAAATTTAGAAGAGTTAAGACCATCCTCACCCACTGGTATTATTTTTTTATTTTCTTAGGGGTGATTATAAAGTTTTTATAAAGACTTTTTAATGGAAAGTCTTTTTCATCACTTTATTCCAGTTCAGATTTCACATAAGTAGTTTTGAAGGAAAAACATATTTTCTCCTTAGTGCACATTTAATTGCTGACAGTAAATATTTCAATAATTAGACCTCTACAGTACATGGTAGCTCCATGCCCCAACAATTGAAGACAAGTGGATTAAGGTGTCATGTCACATTTTTTCAAAAAATGATTTTTGTGGCTGTATATACTTGAAATATACTATATTTTTTTTTTTGTGATAATTCTGATTTCCAATTTTGATAAATAACTGCTTTTCATGAGATAGGAAGGTATCATGAACCATACATCATAATGCAATTGTAAAACTTTAATCTTGTTTTTATTGAAATAATCTTTTTGTGACATGACACCTTTATCCACTTGGGTCTTTAATTTTAAAACACTCTTTATATAGATCAATATAAATAATATATTAAAGTATAAGGGGATAATAAGATATTTAAAAGTCTGGATTTTTTGAGCATTATATGGCACAGCTGGAGTGCTCGAAATAGAGCAAGCCTGTTAAAGATAAGTTATCCACAAATACTTTACACTATTATTTTTATTAGTACACTTTGAAATCATGAATACTGTTATTATTACTACTACAAAAAAAGGAAGTAATAACCAAAAATGTAAAATGGTTGAATTTGTGATTGACATCAGTATACCTTCATTGTCATGGACATGAGAAAAATACAAACAAATTGGCAATCTGTCGCACATGATTAATTGTTGTCACACGTGCTGAGTTTGAACTGTGGACTCCTTTTACTCTTTTCACTCCATAACTATTTTTAGTTGATACTAAATCATTGTAATTCAGTGATGTGAAGTTAGATATGGAGTTAAAAGAGTAAAAGGGGACCACATCCCAAACTTAGCAACAGCTGTTACTTAAAAATGAGTTCTAATGATTACTTGAATAGTAAAGCACAATCGTGGTTAATACTGCTTGTAGAGGCTTATAAAAAAGAATACGAAAAGTTCATCAAATGGATGGAAGAGCAAAAGGTAACAGATGCAGATGAACAAATTGTGCTTGATTACCTTCAGAAAATGTCGGAGCAGTACAAGGCGTCGACTATGTGGGCTATCCATTTGAATTTACAAAGTATGTTGAGAATAAACAAAAGGGTCGATATAAAATATGTATTTAAGGAAGACGACTTGCGAAAGTATTTTACAGATGCACTGGACATAGCGTCTTTATTTTTGAAGGTAGTAGCCATTTGCAGTATATTTGGCTCTTGTAGAAGATGTTGTGTGATCTATGCTTACGTGATATCAAGAAAAAAGGAAGCCTATCACTTATTACTAAACGACTTTCTAAGACAGCAAAGGCTCGACGTTTTACTGTTGCCTACAGTGATGCAATTTGGTGCATTCGGTGAAGCAGTATTTATCATTGCGCCCCAAAATGTAAGTACAGACCAATTTTTCTTATGGTATGATAAGGGCAAACCAATCAAGTGCTTGGTATTAATACATTTGGATCATGTCCCTTGCAAATTGAATGTTATGTTAAGTTGGAGGATCCTGAAAAATACATGCATTTTGACGTACGTCTGCTACCGTTGGCAAATAGTGACATGAAAATAGATCAAATTCAATGACAAGTAGGTTGGAAATCGACAGTTGTGGTGAATGTTTCAGACATTATTGGGAGTGCCATTAATGGAACTAAAACCTCATTTGATATATTTGTTAGTAATATTTTATTTGACGTTACAAGGTAATCTTGTCAGATCAATAATTAAAAAGTTGACATTTAAACTTCACATTTCTCAGGTTGTTGATGTTGACATGGAAACTTTAAAACACGCGCGCTTTTAAAGGTTGGATTTAAACACGCTGTATATAAGCAAAATAGTGTTCCAATAAAATTTTTATTGGAAACATATCCATCCCTAACAAGTATCTGATTTCACTGCAGATATTTGGTAAAGTTGGATTTTCATTATCCAGATCTAATTTTGTTTATAGTTCTGTACAAAGAATGGTAGGTAACATAATCCATATGGTGAGATTTTACCAGTTTTGTATATTTGTAATTTGATAAACCCACTGTTAATAAAACCATCCCTATTCGACCTTGTCTATTTTTTTTTTTTTATTATTTAATGGAAACCTTGTCTATTAAGTATTAATGAAATTGTTTATGTTACATAAAAAAGTGTCATCATTATACTGTTGATTACCACTTTAAAAAAGTATCCAAAGTGCACCTGATAATACAAAATTAGTCATTACTGACTTTGGAATATTTAAAGACAAATTAAAAATTCAGCTAATTAAAATGTTATCAGAAAATTATTGTTCACTAATTTCCATCATACCTATGATTAGAATTTAGAAAGTTTATGGAAATGTTTGTCATTTTCTTTGTTATTGTTAAAATTATATATTTAATGTTGTTATTTTGCATTATATAAAATTTTAATACCTTTAAATTTATTTCCATTATGATGTATTTATTCTAATTGTTAGTGTTTCTACTAACGTCAATAACTTATCATTTGCACACATAAATTATGTAGATAAAATACAGGGTGTCCTAAAGACTATTGACCCAATTCTTAATAGGTATTTAACTAGCTGTCACCCAAAAGTATCTAAATTAAAGTTTCATACGTTTTAGTTCTTTTGTTAGATGTTTACTTAATATGTGAAAAATAGCATGCTAACCACAAGCTAAAACAATTACTTATTGCGCCTAGGTGCACAATTATAAGACAATCTGTCACTGCAATATAAAATTGTGATTATTACAAAGGTAATAATGACAGAATGATTCAGAATCTGGGGGGATAACAGACCAAAAAAAAATTGAAAAAATCTTGAATCCGTGACCTCAGGATGGTTGTTCCAATATCATACAACTGGAGCACCGGAGTGCTATGGCTTTCAGGGACCTAATTGCTAATTTGAGCTCCTAGAAATTCTGCTTTTTACACGAGATCCAGGTGTCTGGAGGATACTGTCGACAGGAAGAACTGAAGGTAAAAGGTGCAATATTCTTTTATTTTTACACCCGCAACCATTATACCTCTTCCAAGCAATTAACTTTTTTTTTTAATTGCTTTATGAGCCATCGATTCGTAACATTGGTTAATAATATTGCTTGGAAGTTATTATAATGGTTGCGGGTATAAAAATAGAAGAGTATTGCACCTCTTACCTTCAGTTCTTTCAGTCGACAGTATCCTCCAGGTACCTGGATCTTGCGGAATTACTATGATAGCGAGAAAAGCACAAATTAAAGCGGAAACTATAAAATTAGGTACTATACCTATATCACAAAGCTGGCCTTGTTCACTTATCGCCTTTTTTCTATATCGTTCAATTAGTACAATTTCTAAATTATTTCCTCATTTAAAATTTTTATCGTTTTTTTATTTTTGTTAGAAAAAGATTAACACCAGTTATAAACTCCAAATCGGAACTTTTATTTTTAAAAAATTTAATAATTAAAAATACACTTAAATGGATATTTAAGACAACTCTGGACTAAAGCCTGCATTAAAGCTACCTCAAATAATAATGTTTTACTCCTATTTATGTACTAAAAATGATTATTAAGCAAAGATAATCTAAATATGATATAAAAGAGTCATATTATGTTCACAATATATAACTCCTTCCTCCTTAAGTTTTGAAAATATGGAGTTATTTTTCAAAACATATGTGGGATGTTCTAATTCAATTTCTTCGTTTTCTTTCTTCTATGTCTTCTTAAAAGTTGTCTTCTGTATTTAATTAGTATTAAACTAATTATGCAAATAAAAATTACAAAAATTGTTCCAAAAGTGCTTGAATAATTCAAATTATTTTGAATTTCTTTAATTGGCTTTAATTGTTTAGAAATTTGATGGATTTCATATAAATCATTAAAATCTAATTTAGTTATATTA